TGCTCTTGGAATGGTAAACTCAAAGCCAGGCTTGCAAGTAAGGGAGAAGACAGGACTGAGGCCAAATCAGGCATCAATTAAATATCATTGAGGCTCATTAAATATAATATATTAAAAATTAATTATTATTATAAATAATGAGAAAGTTAGTTTATAATTCATTATAGCCATTAAATATCACCATAGCCTTTCTGATCCTTCTTCCCTGTTCAGCCACCTGGTTGCCAACACACCTGAGGCCACTGCTGATGTTCCCCAGCATGTTCCAGCACACACCTGACAGCCAGTCTGTGTGCCACTTGGGTGGCCTCGGATGACAGGACACCAGCAGCCAGATAGGAACTCTGCTGATGGGCTCTGGGACTGCTTGTTGCTGGTTCAAGTGCTCTCCCGGGAGCAGTTCCACAAGGAGGAGTCATTGTCACTGAGGTAAGGCCCACGCAGCCATGGAGGTGCCAACTGAGCAGAGCTGAGAGGAGGAACCTGAGGACAGCAAGAGTGTACCTAAAGGATAATGAATTGCCAGTGCTCTGAGTGAGGGAATCCCTTTAGAGCTGAAATTGAAATTCAGGTCCGTAGGCAACCCTTGGTGCCCCGTGTCCATTGGAGGCAGTGCTGTGCTGTGCGGTGCCCTGAGGCAGCTGTGTCCAGCCAGACTGATGGGAAAGGGCTTGGTGCTACATGGGAATGATGGAACTGTGACAGGCTGGGGAATCTTAGGAAGGGCAGTAACTTTCTCCAACTGAAATGTGTCAGAACCCTCCTGTGCATCGTTAGGTAGGACTAACACAAACCCAGGTGAGTGTCAGTATTTATCACACAGATCTCAGTTCTAAAGTGCCTGCTGTGATGGACAGACCATGTCACACCACTGAGAGACTCCGCTGGTGGCAGGGGCCTTTTCTCTTCACGACAACACACTGGGCTTCTTGAGCTTTGTCACCTTTAATGACTGTAACTCATTAATGGCAGAGGGTTCAGAAAAATGTAACCGTTCTCCTCCACTGCCTTCTCACAAAAAATTTGCTGTTAACAATGGTATTTAATACTGCTTTGAGTCTAAAATGAGGACAGCTCAGCAATTAAAAAGAAGCAGAACTAGTTTTTAACCTTCCTGCCTAGAATTCACCACAGGCACAAGAATGAAATGAAATGTAGCATTTCCCTGACAGAGATCCACAGTTCCATGTGTTGTTCAACATCCAGCCCCGTGTCAGAACAACTTGTTCATGGAACACGTTGTCAGACACAGTTAGATCCCAGGAAAGACCCGCTGCAGGCACAGGGATGCCTGTGGAAAGGAGGTCCAGGCAGGTGATTCCATTGGCCCCCTGAGGCCTGACATTTAAGAACATATGAAGGATTTCTAAGGACTACTGTGGAGTTTCAGGGCCATTAAAGCAGCCGCTACTGCCCTCTCGAGAAGCTGACATCCCAGTTAACGTGCTGGGAAAGAGAGGAGGAGAATGTTATAGTTCCCCAAGCCCTGTAAGGCAGCGCTGCCGCCGGGAGCACAGCGTCACGCCCTGCCCCAGCTGCTGCCACTCACATCTGCACCAGCACTGGCATTTGCGAGGTGATGTGGATGTGATCCAGATTCAGCCTAACCTGGCAAAACAAGCCCGCTCGGTTCACCCCATCGGGTCACTCTGTGGCCTCGTGAAAGCCGGGGCCAGCAGCAGCCAGGAGCAGGGAACACGCAGTAGGGACAGGTGGGATGGCTCCTGGCAGAGACAGGTGGGATGGCTCCTGGAAGCAAGGTGCTGGCTCGGGGGGCTCTGGCTGCTGTGTTCTCCTGGTCCTATCCCAGTGCTGGCACCTGTGCAGGCTCACACTGGTGCTTGGGGCAGCCAGGGTGGCCTGACCAACCCCAGCCAGAGGACACACAGCTGCTTCCACGCTGCTCTCTCTGCTGCCCCTGAGCTCGGACAGAGCTGATAGCAGTGAGTAGGTGCCACCTTCACCCCTTCTGAACTGAACCCCAGCACCGGCCCAGAGCCTTCCCTGCTGTTGCAAAGTGTGGGATATGTCAAGATTGTCTTAAGTCAGGATGTTTTTTGTAAGGTCTTTGTGTACTTTCAAGCCTAATGAGCAAGAAAGAAGAGCTGATCAATGGAACAGGCAGCAGGAGCACCCCCTGGAGCTAACAAGCTTTAAGGATGTAGTTTATCAAGATGTTGATGTATGTCAATGTATACATTGCTAACTTCTATGACAAGGTGACCTGCCTGCTTGATCAAGGGAAGCCAGTTGATGTGATCTTTTTGGATTTCAGCAAAGATTTTGATCCTGTGTCTCCCAGGATCCTTCTGGACAAACTGTCCATCCCACAGCTGGATAAACACATCCTGTGCTGGGTGAGCAATCGGCTCATGGGTCGGGCACAGAGGGTGGCAGTGACTGGGGTGACATCAGGCTGGGTGACCTGTCACTACTGGGGTTCCCCAGGGCTCCATCTTGGGCCCTGTGCTCTCCAACATCTCCATCAGTGACTTGGATGCAGCACTGGAAGGGACACAGAGCAAGTTTGCAGATGACCCAGAACTGGGAGGGGCTGTTGAGTCCCTGGAGGGCACGGAGGGCCTGCAGAGGGACCTGGACAGATCTGAGGGCTGGGAATCACCAACCATGGGAAGTTCAACAGGGGGAAGGGCCACATTCTGTCCCTGGGATGGGGCAACCCCAGATGGATGGACAGAGTGGGAATGAGAGGCTGGAAAGCAGTGCTGGGAAAGGGCCCTGGGGTAGTCAGTGGCCACTTGGCCCTGAGTCAGCAGTGCCCTGGAAGCCAGGAGGGCCAACCCTGTGCTGGGGGCATCAGGGAGGGGATTGTCCCGCTCTGCTCTGCCCTGGGGTGGCCTCACCTGCAAGACTGGGGCAGTTTGGGGGGACACAATGGAAGGGAGAGATTGAGCCATTGGAGAGTGTCCAAAGGAGGGCAACAAACTGGGGAAGGGCCTTGATTTGAAGCCGTGTGAGGACACTGAGGGCACTTGGTGTGTTCAGCTGGAGGAGACTCAGGGGAGACCTCACTGCAGTTCCAGCTTCCTGAGGAGGGGCAGGCCCTGAGCTCTGCGCTGGGGGGACCAGGGACAGCACCCAGGGAATGGCTGGAGCTGTGTCAGGGCAGGTTTGGGTTGGATATTGGAAAGAGGTTCTTCCCCCAAGGGTGGTTGGCACTGAACAGGCTCCCCAGGGCAGTGGGCACAGCCCCAAGGCTGCCAGAGCTCCAGGAGGGTTTGGATGATCCTCTGGGGCACAGGGGGTGACTTTTGGGAATGATCCTCTGCAGGGCCAGGGGTTGGACTGGATGATCCTTGTGGGTCCCTTCCAACTCAGCATATTCTGAGATTCTGTGAAAATACTCAAGGTCCATGCATTGTACAGCTGAACCACGTTCATTGCAATACTAAAAATCATGCCTGCAGGTCAAAAAGACCTCCAGATGACATAACTTGTATGGAAATGACTAACCAGTCCTAATAGAGGGGCTGTACTTGGGAAGTTTCTAACTCTGAATTTCTGTGTGTAAATAACGCTGCTCAAAGTCCGGAGGGGTGCACTGGATTTGTGGAATACCACCGAGCACCCAGGCTTGCGCAACTCGGAAATAAATAAACTTGGTGACCTTTTCTTCCACTGGGCAGACGATCACATGCAGCACCAAGAATAGGTGCTTCCATTCTCAAGGAAAGGTGGTGTCAGTCACATTCAGGCCCCCAGTTCTGGCATCAGGAGCCGAGCTCCAACAGTGAATAGGCCCAGGGATCGCCACAACACAAAAGGTTCTGAGTGAGAAAGGAAACACTGGGGCTTGGTGCTGTCCTTCCCACGGAAAAGCACTGTCATTCCCATTCAGGGCCCCACCACCAAGATTTATGATACCAACTCCAATATTGAATACATAGGAGGATTGTTCACACATAAAAGGTGCCAGGATAGAAAAAGTCTTGTTGGCCTTTACCCCCATGGGGAAGATGATCATCTCCAGCAGCAACAGGAGAAATAGGTGTTTCCCTTCCCAAGGAAAGGTACTTTGATTCACTTTCTGGACCCAATCTCTGCAATTTGTAGCCAAGCTCCAAATCTGAGGATGTCCAGGGATTGATCCTGCACAAAATGTGACAGGTCAGAAAGCTGTTCCCGGCATTCACTGTTGAGGAATACACGTAGTCCAGGTAGCTCTGCTTGTAAACTGCAGATTGGTATGAAGATTGAACTCTGGGTGGGAGCAAAGAGGCTGTGAACTGAGACACACAGCAGGAGCTAGGAATTGCTGACCTCTTGGATAACAAAGGAGATGACGACCAGTCATGACAGCGAGAGGGATGGACATGGACAGGACAGCAGGAGGCAAAGACTTGGGAGGAAGAGTGAGACTTACACAGGTAGACTGTGAGAGTATAAAAGCCCAGAGGTTCCTTGTTTGGGGGAGCTCCTCAGAGGCACCAGCTCAAGGTGTTTCTGTGTTACTGCGCCACGAATAAATTGCCTTACGGAATGAGACATCTGAGACGCTGCCATGGGAAACCTGGTCTGCGTGAGGGGTGTGTGAGGAGCCAAGCCAGACCTGTCAGGTCACCGTGGAGGAGCTGCAGTCCCAGCAGTGAAAGCCCCTGGGAGCGTGACTGCCAGGGGGGCTCCTCAGTGTCCAGAGCGGGAACTCCCCCTAACACTCCGTGGGCAGCCCACAACCCGCCCTTTGAATGCTGGGGGACGGCGCTCTCCTTCCCACGGAGACACAGCTACATTAATTCTCGAGCGTGTCATGATCGGCTCGTTGCGCACCGGGGAGTGAACCCCACTGCGTGTGGGAGCGAACCCCCTGTGTGTGGGAGCGAACCCCACTGTGTGCGGGAGCGAACCCCCCGTGTGCGGGAGGGAACCCCCCTGTGTGTGGGACGAAACGCCCCTGTATGTGGGAGCGCTCTCGCCGCCATCGCCGCCCTCGCCGCCCTCCCCGCCGTCCCTCCGCCGCTGCCGGCACTTCCCGCGGAAGGGGCGGGCGGCGGTGACGGAAGGGTTGCCGGGCACTGATGGCGGCGCTGGCGCGGGCCCTGGTGAGCGAGGGAAGGAGGGAAGGAGGGAGGGAGCGAGCGCTGCTGCTGCTGCCGCCGAGGGGACGAGCGGCGTGTGGGGCCGGGGCTGTCCCCCCGCACCCCGAGGGGTGTCAGCGGGCGCCGCTCCCGCCGCCCTCCCCTCCCCTCAGCCCCGCGGTGGTGTCCGGCGAAGCAGCGGGTCGAGCTTTTCCCCGCAGAGTTTGTGTTTGCAGAAGGGTTACTGAGGGGCTGGAGCGTGTCCAGGGAAGGGCAGCGGAGCTGGGGAAGGGTCTGGAGCACCAGGAGCTGCTGAGGGAGCTGTGAGGGAGAAAAGGAGGCTCAGGGGGAACCTTCTCGCCATCTCCTACTCCCTGATAAGGGGGGGGGAGCCGGGGGAGGTCGGGCTCTGCTCCCAGGGGGCACGGCCTCAAGCTGTGCCAGGGGAGGGTCAGGTTGGACACTAGGAGGAATTTCTGCCCAGAAAGAGTGATTTAGACGTTGGGTTGGGCTGCCCAGGGAGGCGGTGGAGTCACCGTCCTTGGAGGTGTTTAAGGGAAGACTGGTCATGGCACTCAGTGCCATGGTCTGGTGTTGGGTCATAGGTTGGACTTGGTCATCCTAGAGGTCTTTTCCAACCTAACTCACTCTGTGATTCTGTCGTGTGAGGGTCTGGGCTGGAGACACTTGTCTGTCAGTGTGGGGCTCCTCTGGGCTTAGTGTGTTTTCTTCGAGTTTCTCTTCTCATTTCAGGTGTTTGATATCAAGGATAATGTAAAGATTCCCATTCCTGTGTTGCTGGTCAGGCACTGGCACAGGTAGCCCAGGGCAGTGGTGGAGTCACTGTCCCTGGAAGTGTTGAAATGCCGGGTAGATGTGGCACGTGGGGACACAGGTTGGTGGTGGACCCGGCAGTTGGACTTGATGGGCTTTTCCAGCCCTAGTGATTCAAGTTGGAAGAGTTTGGGTTCTTGCGAATGAGTGGATATCTAATCACTCCACTCTTTTCTTTTTTTCCCATGCATTCATGTGCATTTTTCTTTCTGTTGGCCTTTAAAGTCTATGCAACAGAGCTCTTCTTTTTAGCATATAGTCTAGAAAAGGGAGTTTTGTACCTGGGTCTGATCTTGTGCCACCACACAAATACACGGATGGCCAGCACTGCTAAGTGGGGAGAGATTTCCCAGGAACAGGAAAGGCCTTTGGCCAGAGGGCAATCTCCACTCACGAAATGAATCCACCAAGTTCTCAGAGCCGATGGCTCAGGGTGTGGTTTTCATGGCACGGTGAGCCCTGTCCTTTCCACTCTCAAGGTGAAAGCAGCCAAGCACAAACCTGCCCGAGAGCAGCTGAAGTGGAGCGAGCTTGAGTTCCTGCTTCCTCCTCCCATCCCTGCCCTTTCTCTGTGCTCCTGTCCTTCCTCTGTTGCTGCAATTGCCTCCTCCAGCATTTTTCTTGGCCCCTATGGTCCCAATTCTGGAGCAGCAGAACAGGGGCAACATAAAAATAGTTTTGTGGAGTTTTAAAGCACTGAAGAGGCAGTGGCCAGCAGACAAGGAGGGGGAAGCCACGCAGAAGGGGAGCAGGGAGAGCAGTGGGGGAGCAGTGAGGCACCAGATGGGTTCAGCTGTCCGTGGAGCCGCACCCCCAGGGCAGGGTTTGCATTGAAAACCTGCTTCTGAAGGGGAAGGACTTGCCTGCTGGGCTTACCTGTCCCTGGGCAGCTCCTTGCCCATCTGCTGCTGGCATTCAGGTGGCAAAGGGAGCTGATTCAGTTTTTCAGCCTGAGCAGACATTTCTCGTTAGAGGGGAGGAGATGGAGTTCTTTGCCATTTTGTGATCTGAAGTGCACCAGCGTTCAGCACAAGCACTGCTCATCCCTGGCACCTCCCAGCACTTGTTGCTGCATTAGAATTTAGTGGTTGCCTACTTGTATAAAGGAGCCCCTGCTGGTCTAGTGGTAAAGGCGCCGCGCTATCACCGCGGAGACCCGGGTTCGATTCCCGGTCAGGGCCACTCCCGGGCAGGTGGGGCTCGTTAGCCCTTAAAGGCAACCCACCTACGTCCTAAGGACCTCGCTGCCACCGTCCAAGCTCGCTTGGCCCCGGCAGATGAACCTTAGGATTAAAGGGTGGGCTCAGTTCCGCGCACACTGTGTCTCACCTAAAAAATCCAATGCGCAGGCTGGAAGGTGGAAAGACCTTCCCCGGATCTTCGCTCGCGAAGACTGGCCATTATTATTACTTGTATAAAAGCAAATCTTCGAACGTTCCGTGTCTCTTCTTTCTACTGGAAATAAGGAAAATTACTTTTGTTGTCTGTCTTCAATCCTTCCTTGGGTACACCTCCTGGTGTATGGTAGGGTCCTGATGATTGTCCAGACGTTTCAGCTCTGCTCATTAATCCTGCCATTAGGATAAAGCTGTTTTTTTCCCAAGAGATCTTGATGAATAGCTTGTCTGCTACCTAAGACTTTCCTAATGGTTGCCAAGAGCATTTAGAAGACCATATAGTGATATTCTTCCATCTTGACAAGGCAGCTGCCTGCAGGCTGTTCCTGAGCAAATCCTCTTCAGTTTAGGCTTGGTACTTTTTCTCTCAGCCAAACAAAAGTATCACTTGTAATTTGAAAGGAGGGTTGTGCTCTGCAAACAGTGATTCTGGCTTAGACAAAATTCCCTGGCTCCTGGTGTTCCCTGCTTTCTGCTGGTGTCTGTTTTCTTTGTTACTGGATTGTTTATCACATCTCAACTTATGTTATGTTTTCATATGTCTTTACCTGGTTTTGTTGCAGTTGTGCTTTTCAACAGCTATAACCCCCAGTATGTTCAAGCTCTAAATCCCAACCTGGGCACGTTTTCCTTCTTGTTACAGAGAAAAAGCCTCACAGAAGTTCTGTCAGATCCTTGGAATCTTGTCAAAATTGGTTATAAAAAATGGTGACTTCTTTCTCACTGAAGTGTTTGTTAAACTGTTCATGGAAGGACACCGGGTTAGCTCAAGGAGTGCTTTGTGGTACTCATGTGAAATGGTTTTTTGAATGGAAATGTATCGTTTTCATAATCTCACTTGCTGAGCAGAGATGTTACACTGAAAAAGCAGAAGTAGAGTCATCTTGCTATAGTTGAAAATAAAGCTGTTTTTATTAGATAAAGGCAATCCATTCTAATAATATATAATATATATATTATTTCCAGTATTAGTGTAGTGCATGTATGAAGGAGGCAAATATTGTACTAACTTGAATATTGCAGAAAATGAAAGATGCAAAGAAAGTGCAGGCAAGGAAAACTCCATCTCTTTCCATATTACTGACATTTTCATAACAGAAAATAATTGTCTTCAGTGAAATTTATTGGGACAATATGTGCTTTTGAAATACTAAAATTCTTAGCCGTGCCTGGGTAAAGTAAGACAAAGATACATAAAAGCTGCGAGTTGGATGGGGGCTTTTTGGAGCTCACTCTGTCAATTGAAGAATGCTTCTTGAGCATTTGAATTTATTGTACAGACTGAAAAACTGTGGTGTGGTTTTGTGATGTAGACAGCCCACCATTTCCTTCCACTCATCTGTTTCTGCCATCAGACTTGGCTTGGATACTTGTACTGGAAGGCAAAATATTTTTATAATCAGAATTTATACTCCTGTCAAGCACAAGTTGAGAGTTGAATCTAAGGATTGTTAGAATATCCTCAGCTGGAAGGGACCCACCAGGATCATCCAGTTCAACTCCTGGCCCTGCACAGACACCCCAACAATCCCACCCTGTCCCTCAGAGCGTTGTCCAAACCCTCCTGGAGCTCTGGCAGCCTTGGGGCCGTGCCCACTGCCCTGGGGAGCCTGTTCAGTGCCAGCCACCCTCTGGGGGAAGAACCTTGTCCTGAGATCCACCCTGAGCCTGCCCTGACACAGCTCCTTGTTGTTCTTGTTGTATGAATGAATAAAACCTGTGGAAGCAGAAGGACAGTTAAACTATTTCTGCATGTTTGGGTCCTTTTCTTCATCTGCTCCTGTCCCTGTTGCAGAGCTGCCAGACTGGAGTAAGTCAATGGCTAACAGGATGCAGTGGATTGCTCCAGACCGCCGCAGTCCCGGGCCAGTGTAGACGGATGCTCTGCAGTATTTTCCAGGTAGGATATACCAGAGCACGTTAAACTGTGTAAACAAAAATGGAACGAGCTGAAATTGCTAAGGAAAAGTCGTGGTTTTTTCAATAAAGAGTCTTTCAAAAGTGATGTCTTCGCTGTGTATTGCTGAAATATCGAGGCAGCTCTAGAGCTCTGTGCTGCAAAAAGGGTGAGCTGCCACTCTTTGTTACACGTCTTCATTCCAGCTCTGTCTTTTAATAGATCGAAATTATTTAATTATTTAATAGGTCTAAATGATCTGTCGTGAGGAGATTTAAGTGCAGAAGTCCAAATGTAGGTGTCACTTTTCCAAAGCAGCTCTTACAAGCCGGTCACAATTGCACGTAATCTCCAGCACCTTATTTTCCCGAACACTTTATTTTACAGGATGTCTCCACTGTACACTGGCCTTGGACTTCCTAGTACTGATGGATGTTTACCTCGCTGAGCACAACATTTAGTGTTGCTCCAGTGGAAGCGCTGCAGTTTGGCTTCCAGCTGTGTGCCAGCAGGCACAGTGCCAGGGTGTGTCTGTCCAGAGTAAATCATCTGGAGCATCGTGTGGTAGCACTTAATGAGAAAGGGGTGAAAAACATGTAGAAAATGGAGAGATGCCGGCTCTGTCTCCTGGTGTTTCCTTCCTGCAGTCAGTGAAGAACAAGGGGGTTAAGCCTCTTCTTCATCCTCCTTTGTATCACATCTCGTGCCATAGAGCCATGATGTTCACAATTAGAAATTCCCTGTAAGCTTCTTTGGCCTGAGTGTCTTTTCTCAGAGAAGACCTTCCAGTTCTAGGAAAATTGCTGGTGATTTTGTGACACAACCCTACTATTAAAGCACAGTCCATACCAAGTAACATCTGATGTTTGGAGGAGGGAGGGAAATGAGCAGTTGTGAGGTTACTGATGAAGTTGGGCTCACTCTGAGCCACCAGTACATTCAGTACCTGTCTGGGGAGGAGTGCTCTGAACAGGATATTTACTTTGATTTAATTTATACACAAGGTACTGCTAAGCTGGGGGTGCTGAGAGGCTGTGAGGAGTGTTTTGTTCAGGGTGCAGCTTCTTTCCTGGGGAGCCTGCTCTCTCCAACTTGAGAGTTTTCTCTGTCGTGCAGTAGCTCTGTGATACAAGTCACGTGCTCTGAAGTTATAGTGGTTGTAGGGATAGCCTTTACCCTGTAAATTGTGTTTTCTCAAGTCCTTCCACAAAGGCAATTAAATGGGCTATAAAGTTGTAGACAAAAATAGCATAAAGTCTGTTTGTCTGCAAGGTCAGGAAACAGATTTATTCTTTAAATAAAGACAAACCCATAATTGAAAGTAGTGAAAGCAGTCAGCCTGTGGTTTTTCAGTGGAGTGTTCTACCAGTCTGTTCCATCAGTACATTTGTGGAACACTGGAAAATGAATGGTGTGGAGCATCAAGCACGGACAGCTGTTTTGTTTGTAACAGTTATGATAATAAATTTGTGGGGTTTTTGATATAAAGTTTTTCAGCATTAGCCAAAACTAATTAGCAAACTAAGGGTGATTGTTGATGTAAAGTGAAGTCAATGATCTCTTAATCTTTTTCTTTTATTTTCTTTTTACTAGAGACACAAGGCTGGCCCCTTCCGACTGCCCAGATTCTGTCGGGGATGGATTCCAGCCAGGGGAGCCACCACACAGCAAACCAGATCCTTTTACAACACCAATCAGGTGAGAAGAGCTGCATGTTTTTATTGTACTGGGGATTAAACGGGGACAGGAGGCAAAACACTTCCCAGGACGAAGGGAAGAGGACTCAGCTTTTCATTAAGATATTTTAGAGTGGTGACAACAGTGGGTCCAGTCATTTGAGAAGGAATTCTGTTCCTTTCCAGCAAATGAAGGGCTGGCATTGGAGGGTGCAGTTACAGCTGGGTTATCAGGGTGAAGGTTCCAGTGATAATCCTGAGGGTTTCCTTCCAATGAGGAAAGAAATTAAGTCAAGGGGAGTAGGTATTGGTGTGGAGAGCAGATATTCCTTCTGGACATATTTGAAGTGACGGGATGTTTTCTGATTCTTTAGCTTGGGAATAAAGTGTGATGACAGTTTTGGTATCTGCTAAACACTGAAAATTGTCATTCAATCCACTAGTAACAGCTAATTATTGTCTAATAATTTATTTACTGTTCATCTGTGGTCTATGTGTCTTGTACATTTATTGTATTTTGTCTTGAAATAGAAGTTTTCTGGAGCGTGAATCAACTCCATAAGATTAGTTTACCACTTAAATGAAGGCTGTCAGCATTCCTCAGCTATTATCCTGACTTGGCTCTTGTTAACCCAGTGTGAAGAAAATGGCAAAATGGAATGTATGCCTGAGAAATGATAGGAGAAATGATAGAAGAAAGAAGTAAGCTAGAGATTGAGGGGTAAATCTTCCATGAAAGCAGCAATCCCAGTTTGCTCTCTACCTAGTAGTGTATTTTGCTGGTGTAGAGTTAGAGGTACATAACTAAGAAGGATTTAGAATTAGTTATTTTGACATGATTGAAAAAATGAAGGAAAACAAGGAAATGTGTGCAAGGAAAGAAGCCCTGGCTTCTCTTTCCATTTAGTTCTTAACTAGACCTTTTCCTTTCTTTAGTCCATTTTTCAGTGTTTTTCAGCTGGTGAGATAACAAACACCTTGCAGGCAGGGAGATTGAGGCATGTCAAAAGGGGTTGCACAATTTATCATGGCCAGAGCTAAAGGTGTAATCCCAGGCTCCCTAATCCCTGTTCCTGCCTGCACTGCTCTCTGATTGCTACACAAGCAGCATGTGCAGGGCAGGTCTGGGAGAGCAGTGATAGCAGATCCAACAAACCAGGAGTGGCACGAAGATCTTCAAGGCAGGACTCAAGACTTGCTTTTGATGTGTTGGAAAGGACTAGGGGAGGGGTCCAAGAGTTGAAAGATGAATTGGGAAACTGGTTAAAATAGCCTTGGTGTAAGAAGCCAGGCAGGATTTATGACCAGAGAGGAAGCAGTTTACAGCAGAGTAGGTTTGAGGTGGGTTTTTGGACAGCAGCTTCATTATTTTGAATAGAGAAGTACTTACTCATCTTTGAAATGTGAACTTGGCTGGGCAGTCCTGGTGGTAGAGTGGTTTGGAATTAATGGTGAGCCCCAGATGTTTCAATTTATGTTTAGTGTCAAAATTAAGAAGATTGTTTGCTTTAAGCACTGCATTGAGCAGGAAAGGCAGCCTGAGGTGGGCTTATGTCCCTTGCAGTGTCTTGATGAGCTTGTTTTGAGTGAGTTATACAGCATATTTTTGAAGTTTTTCTCTCTGTGTGTCATGGTTTAAGCCCAACTGGCAACTAAGCACCACAGAGCCACTCACCTGCTCCCCCCTCCTTGTCCTGGTGATTCCTAGACCTGATTTTATAGATTATAGGGCTGTTTAGTTGCACTTGGCTGAACCATGCACTCCCTGCTTAAATCTCCTCTCCATCTCCTGAGCTAGTCCAGGCTGACTTGCAGAGGAATGAAGCCAGAGTCATGGCATTTCTTAGGAAAAACCTGCTTGCTGGCCAGTCATTGTGTTAGTGATGAGCTAACAGCAGCTGAATTGAGATGATTTTGGGTTTTAACTTCCTCTGTGTAATGAAAGACCTCTACTGAGGGAGGCTTCATAATGCACTTGTACATAAGAGGCCCGTGGTGAAGTTCTGCCTGGGTTCCCTAGAGGTTCAGTGTGACTGTAGTTGCTGTGGAGGAGATGAAGGTTGATTTAGTGAGTTTGGTGTGGCAGTGGTTATTGGACACAGGTTCTGCATTGAGCAATTCCTATCATTGCCTGGCTGGAGGGGGATTATGGAGTTACAGTGGAAGGTTAGGGGTCCTTTGTAGTGTAGAGGAGAATATTGCATGAGTTGTTCTTGAAGAGGAGGTACTAAAATTTGGTTTAAATATTCACATACTGCCAGTAGACTCAGTGGGTCCATCACATGTGGCAGAGGGTGGGAATTGCCTTTGCAGACACTTTAGTTCTGGATGGTGGGAGGGGACAGGGTGAACAGTTCAGACAATCAGAGAAGGATCTGAGTATCCCAAGAGGTCCTGGGCAGTGTGACACTATCTTACTGAGTGACTCACAGATGCTGAAATGGTGCTCAGAATAGTGTAGGTCCTATTTCAGGACCCTTCTAAACTAGAAGATGGGCATATGTATGAAAGTGGCCTATAAAAGTCATAAAAGACTGAAAAGTGGAATAGAAAATGGTTGTTTGCAGGTTCTTAGAGGAAAACTGGGAGCGTCCAGTGAAATCAGTCATAGAATAGTTTGGGTTGGAAAGGACCTTTAAAGGTCACTAGTCCAAAGGACAAGGTTGGATGTAAAACAGGCACAGCTTTTACATCGTTAAACCACGAAACCTCAGCGTTCCACACCTTTGTGTTATGGAGGTTCAAGAGTTTCAAACCCTGGGGTACTGAAGGGGCATCCAACTGGAGCTGCCAAACATGGCTGGATACATTTTCTAGTGGGAGAATGCCTGTCAAAAGCTGGACAGGTACACCCCAGGAAGCTTGGGGGAGGGGGGGTGCTGTTTCTCTGCTTGTGTGTCTTCTCCAGGGAGCTGCTGCTGCTCCTTGTTGGAGTTGGCAGCCTGGTCTCATTGTTCTGGCCATGTGTGGCAGCCCTGGTGTTGCTAAATTGCTTCCCTGCTAAGAAAATCCTTTTCTTAGTATGTTAATGTGTCAGGAGGAATTGTTTGGGGTAAAATGCCAGCAACTGAAAGCAGTGTAACATTTCTTTGGTCAGGGAGCTTTCTCAGATTGTAAGGCTCTCAGCTGTGTTTCCTCGAGTGTATGTAGGAGATTCGTGTGCAAAAAATGGGTTAAAAATGGAGTCATTTGGTGATAGCTAAAGGTCTATACTGCAGAGTTAATTCATGGAAATTATTTGCTGGAGTACCAGTGGTAATTCCTGATGGCTGATTGCTGCTGCCAGGGTGCTCAGAGACAGAATGCCGGGAGGTTTTCTTACCAGTTGTGCTGATTTGGGTTTGGGGTAGTGTTGAATTTCTTCCCAGCTGATATGGGCTGTGGTTTGGGTGTGTGCTGGAAACAGTCCTGATAACAGGGATGTTTTAGTTCCTGCTGAGCAGGGCTGGCACAGAGTCCAGGCCTTTTCTGCTCCTCACCCCACCAGGGGAATAGCTGGGGGTGCACAAGGATTGGAGGAACACTGATCCCAGCTGACCCCAGCGACATCCCAGACCATATGGCATCATTCTCACACACAAAGCCGTGGGAAGGAGGAGGAAAGGGAGATGATTGGAGTGATGGTGTTTGCCTTCCCGAGTCACCATGACTGTGATGGAGCCTGCCTGTCCTAGGGATGGCTGAACCTGCCTCCCTGGGAGTGGGCAATGAATTCCTTGTGCTGCTTCGCATGTGTGTGTGGTTTCTGATCAACTAATTAAACTCCTTTATCTCAACCCCTGAGTTTTCTCACTTTTACCCTCACAGTTCTGTCCCCCATCCCCAGTTGCCCCCTGGGGTTAAGCCACAGCATCAGCCCAGAGGTGTTTAAGGTGGGGGGTTGATCTGGAAGTGAATATTTATCTTCATATTTGCAGGCACTGCAAATCCTGGGAGAATAAATGCTTTCCTGGTCTAGGTTTTCTGCAAGGACCACATAGTTTAGCTGAAGGGGAATAACAATCTGAGGGAGCTTTTTGGTGAGAACTGTGGGTTTGTGTAGCTTCACTGGTTTTAAAATGGAGCTGATTGGTTTCTGGAATGTGTAATTACTCTAGGGTATGATATGCTTGGGAGAGGAAGAGAGGGAATGTAAAAGGTTAGCTTTATTTACTCTCTTTCTGTGATTTGTTTGCTTGTTTTTTGTGCAAAAAAACTTAAACCCAATTAAAGACACAGAGCTAGAAAGAGTATGGGAGTCTTAAGACAGAAGCCATATTTTGGAAAGCAGGTTTCTCTACAGAGCTTCCAATGGGACGTTTTTATTATAATGGTTATGCAATGTTTGCATTCATGAACAAAAGAACATCACACAGGAAAACCAGGGTAATATTTTCAGAGAAGACCTAAATATGTGTTTGTTTTGTTGAAAAAAAGACAATAAACAAAACCCCTAAAATTCCCTATTAAATTTGTGTCTTTTCTAGCTGAAATGATTTGTCAGATGTAATTGCTGAGACTGAAATATGTGCTTTTTCAATTTTACAGCACCTTTCTGCAAAAGATTCCTTGCAGCCAACTGAAGAGAAAGTGGGTGCTTTCACAAGGATAATAGAAGCAATGGGGTTCACAGGACCACTCAAGTACAGCAGATGGGTAAAGCAGTCACTTAATAATTCTTTTGGTTGTTTGGTTGTTCTGAAAAGCAGACAAAAACCAGCACGTAGTGGGAAATTGTTAATGACCCATGTAAATACCTGTTTTCTAATGTAAGGAATAATAATCCGTAGCTTGAACCTCCCTTGATCTGTCCTCTGCCATCACTGACATCCGTACCAATATTGCTTTGGGTGTTTATGGTCTAAAGCCTTCTTGAATTTCTTCCATTATCTGATTTTTGCATTTCATGTGTGCAACAAAACCCACAGTAACAGACTTACTGTGCAAGTCAAACACCCACACAGTCCATCATCTTATCCCTAATAATGACCAATTGCTGTAAATTAGGAAGAACTCGATTACAGGTGAAGCACACTGTGATAATTGTCTCGTGTGCTCCTCCAGCTTCCGCAGGTTTTAGGACTTCCTGCGTGAAAACAGACATTTTTGTAGAGTGTTTATTGATTTTTCTTCTATAAGTGGGTCCAGTTGCACTTGGAACTCTTTGTTTGTAGCTTCCATAGCATTCAGGATCAGGGATTTCCATCGCCTGAGGCACCACTGGGGGAAGAAGTACAGTTGGTTTTAGTTGATGCCTTTTAATTTTGTAGTTAAAAAAGGTGATTATTCTTTCCTTGGAGTTTTTAATCACATTCTGCCTTCCACTGATGATTTGAGAGATGTATATATTATGTAGTATCTATGCCTTTCTCTGCAGTGAGAAGGCTGAGTCTAACTTGTGTCTTTTATTGAGGCTCTTCCATGTTGTGATTTTTGTTGCCCTTCTCTGAGCCTCCTCCAGGGTTCTGTGTTTCTGGGGCTGGAGGGTCTCCCAAGCAGTCAGCAGGGAGAAATGATGTGTTGCTGTTCAAGGCACTGCTCAGTGGCAGTTGACCAGGGCAGAGTCCCAAATAGGTCCTTCCCATTATCCTTTTCTCTTTAAACAGCCCTTTCACAAAGCAGTTGTTAACACTGAATAAAAGAGAGCAGTTTGGTGAGAAACACCTTCACTTCCTTGGGCAGAAGGAAAAAGATGAAATTCATGATTTCTCTGAACTAGGAGAGAGTATAAAGGAGTGGGAGGAAAAGGCAGCTTGAAGGAAGGGCTGAGCCCAATTGTGTTGGAATTAAAATCAGTTCTTCGAGTAGAAAAAAATTAAAAATAATAAAAATCTTGAGGTGCTTTGAATATCTGCAAGGCAGAGTGCACGTCCTCCGAGACTGATCTGAAACTGTTGCTGATTGCATCTTGCTCCTCAGAAGGTGTAAAGCAAAGATAACTGACCCATTAGAGGCTTAGGTATTTTGGTTTAAATCAGTGGCTTTAATCAGGTGATGTTAAACCTCATGAGAGTGTAGTTTCTCTCCCATGTGCTTGTGTACATATTGTTGTAATAAAGATTCCTATTAGCTCTAAGTGTTGATTCAGAGTTCTCCTTAATTGCTGCTCTTTACTGCCTGTTTTTGGCTGGGGAACCTGGGTTAGGAGAGAGTTATTTTGTGGTTAGGGCCCAAGAGACCTGAGTTCATTTTTGGCCTTGCCAGTGCTCTCTAGGAGATCTTCGGGAAGTTTCTTCATATTTCTCTGCTTTTTTTCCATTTTCTTCTCCCTTCCTCCACGCCTCTTCTACACCCTAAAACTTCCATGATTACATTTCATCCCTTTCTCCTTTGTTACCTGCCTTATTTAAGGGCTGGATTGTGGGGACTGTTCTTTGCAATTTGTTTTTAATGTCTAGTAATGCCTGCTCTGGGGCAGTGGCTCCCACCAGGGACATCTCTGCTCCCAGGCCAGGCAGTGTTTCCTTTAAAAGGGAAACCTCCACAATTCCTGTAAGCAGTGTAAATTATTTTACTTCAAGTTTAGATGTAGGTTTGATTTTTGACAGAAGCTTGAGATTACTGAGTCAGAAAAATAATGGGCTCCTGTGTTTCCTCAGCAAGCAGTTGCAACTTTTTTATTTTCCTTTTGGCTGCACAAGACACACGTAATTACTTTGGTGATTTGAACTGCCATTTACCAGGCAGGTTGCTCATCCCTGTAATACAGTGAGCACTGAGAGGATCCCTGGTTTATGTCACTAAAAATAAAAAAGAAATAAACCAAACCAAAGCAACCCAAAGCCAAGGCCACTTCCTGGCTTAGGTAGGGCAGTGAGTTGTGGAGTTTTCAAATTTTTCTTAATTTTTCTTCCCCTGATGTTAGCAAACAGGAATGGCTGACAGCTCTTTAAGATCTTTGCTGTTAGTTATTGTGGCCTTTGAAGTTTCAGCACGTGTCTGTGTTTTGGATGATGCACTGGAAGTGTTTTGGGTGCACTGGCAGGCCAGAAACAAAATGAAAAGTGCCAAAGCACTTGGGAATACCTCATGTCATTCATCATTTGGGATTCCTCTCTTGCTCTCCAAGCTTAGTCAGCCAAGTTCCATTTTTCTAGGAAAAATTATTATTTTTAGGACATTTCATTTTAGGACATTATTTACTATTTTTAGGACACGTCTGGTATGTGACTTCTTTAATATTTAAAACTTTAATTGTACAAAACACTCTCAGCGGTGTACATCACTTAGTTATTGGAGAAAACCAGGAGTTGTGAACTGGACTCTTTGGAGTCTCTGTTGGGGATTTCTTTTTCTGTTATTATGTCAAGTATTGTGTCAACCTAGATTGGGAAGGATATTCAAGAAGCCATTTAATAACTCCTTCTCCTCGAGGCAAGGTTCATTATCCTCATGCCATTACTGGCACAGCTCAGTGTGCTCCTGAAAATCCCAGGTGGTTGTGACTCTCAAGAGAAGCGTTTCCAGCGGGTGGCAGCGCATTTACCGAGCCCAGCAGGGCTCGGGGGGGGCTCTCAGGAGCGCAGGGTTCAAGTGTTGCCTTTCCTTTCTGCCGTAGAAGATCAAGGTGGCGGCGCTGCGCATGTACACGTGCTGCGTGGAGAAGACCGACTACGAGGAGTTTTTTAGCCGTGAGTAACGGATTGGTGGTTGTGGGGCTGCTGCTGCCCCGTGTTGTGGGGTGGAATTGTGTCATTAGATGCACCGGTCCCGATAAACACGACAACAAAGAGACTTTTCCTGGTCAGGCCCTGCCGGCGCGTGGCCGGCTGGGAGCTCGCGGTGCTGCGGCTCCGGAGTGACGAGGGCAGGCTCTGGAGGCTGTGATTGTTACATTTTACCTGCTGCAGTGGGGATGGGTAAAACTCGGAATATCCTGGACTTTGAAGGATATTGCCTTGTTTATTACCAGGTGTGGCACAAACTTAAGAATTCCAGTCTCTCTTCCCTGTTTACTCTGGTCAGATGGTCTCTGTGTCCCACGCAGTGCTGTCCCCGCTGTAACTGGGATGCAGGATGAGAACCATCCCCTTCCTCTGAGGCACAGCTTTTTATGGTACAAGATCATAGGGTCCTACCTGTCTCTCTCCCCCATGGCTGGGCCAGGTTTAGCTACGACTTAGAGACTCCCTACGTTTTTACTGACCATGACCAGGACACATCTCTTGCCTGGGTAGAGAGTATGACTAGAACAGAGACACAGGTCCCTCCTGTAAGTATTTAGGTATGACATTGGCTTGGATTGGCTTGGCTTTTCCATGCTGTACACAATTATTAGCTAAAAAATCCGTTGCTGCTTTGAGTAGTATCAGATCTGGCTGGTGAAGGGCAAAGATGTGTTTTTGAGACTTACATAAGCTTCAGTAATATTTTTTCTTGTGAGCATTATTTCCCGTGTGCTTTAGCTGTAGTAAACCCATTACCTGGATCTGGCCTGTCACTGGGATTCCTGAGCTTCCAAATACTTTCTTAGAGCACAGGTTGGGCTGCTGCCTCTTGAGAGATCAGCTGAAGGGATGTCTTCATCCAGTGCAGAGCTTTTTGAGGGTGGTTTGTTACGTGGTGTTGCTACTGCAAGATTTTCCAGTGGTTTCCAAAGGTTTTCCAAACCTGTGATGTGGTTTCAGCGGCCACAGGAGTGAGAGGAGTCTGTGAGCAGTAGGATTCACCATCAGTGATCAGAAACTGAGAACCACCTTTTCCCTGTGCACAGCCCTCTCCCCAGCTGTGTGCCCCCCACCCCAGGCTTGCTCAGATAAGTTCTCTTCTGTTTGTGGTATTTACCTCTCAGACAGGGGCTTTCCTGTTTTTAACTGGTGTTTCACCATCTCTGTTTAATCATACAGAGATACATAAATGTTGTCCTAGATTAAAATTTCAAGGACTGTCAAAGCATGTCTGTGAAAAAGATACTGGCAGAGATTTTCAGACTCAGTAGTATTGAATAAAAGAACTTCAGTTGTGGTTTTGCTTTTGTCTTACTGTTTTAGAAAGAAAACATGTATTTTAAAGGGTAACACATATTTGTATTGGCTTGAGACAGTTGCTGCCTAAGGATCAGGGTGGTTTGCTGGGATTGATGGAGTGCATTGGTGGTGTAAGAACACCTGTGCCTCTGGGGTCAGTGCTTGTGGTCCCAAAGAAACTGTTCACCATGTCTTCATCAAGCTGGGTCAGTCAGGAGCTGTTTTTTAACTTTTTTCAACTACAGATGGACATTGCTTAAGCTCATTGTTCCCTGCTCAAGGAGCAGCCTGGGGGGATGAGTAGGAACAGAAAAAAACTAACTCTGAGCTCTCTCCCCTGGTGCCTGCTGGGCTGGGGAGCCCCGAGGGCAGGATGGTGCTGCCTGTGCTGTGATTATGCTCTGCTGCCCCCAGCACTCCTGGCTCTGGTTGCAGGGTGTTGATATGCCAGTGAACTGCACAGAGGCAGCTCTGCTCTCTGGAGAGCTTATTAGCCCTTTCTGTGCCGTGTGTGAGCGCTGTTACCCCACTGAGCTGACCCTGGGAACCCACAGCCATCCGTGTGTGAAACAGCTCGTGGGCTCGTTAACCCCGAGCGAGCAAACCCGTTCCTCAGAGAGCCTTCTCCAGTGCTCCTGCACGTGCTTTTGTGGTGTGCTTGTGTTGTGGCAGCAACAGCAGCTGCACTGGGACCTGATGGAACTTGGACTGGTGTGTGGAATTTGTCAGGTAGTGCTCTGACAGAGGGTGGAGAGTGGATTGTGTGAGGGCCAGTACTATGTCTCACAGGTTCTCTTCCTATCTCACTGTATTTCTGCTGATGAACCCTGGAATTTCCAGCTTTCTGTGGCACAGTGAACTGCCTGTCTCTGTATATGCCTTAGAACAGCAGTTCCCAAATTACAGGCTATGGATGTGCAAGTCATAAGGCTGCTGTAGAACATAAAGGAGGTGTTTTAATTGACACTCTCAGTATTGTACTGCACTTCATTTTATTATACCTGCCATTCTGTGGTCTCTTGGGTTTGGATCATTCATGGACAAAACATGGGAACTCTGCTTTAGAGCTTGTATCCCAAATGTCTGTACTGTGCTGCTTACATGGAAAGAGGAGCTGTTTTATGACTTCAGCTGTTTCTTGTTTAAAGAAGAAGAGAGAAGCAATAGAGGGAGCAGTAAAGTTCCTGGTGCCAGGCTTGGCACAGAGCTTGGGGAGTTCCAGTGAAAGGGAGGAGGCAGCCTGTGAGGAGGGAGCTGCATGCCTGACCTCAGACCTGGAAGGTCAAAAGAGCTTCTAGGATCAGGCAGGTGATACTCAGAGCTGAGCTGGAGTTTGGCTGATGAACATGGACTGTTGGGTTACTTGGAATTCATCTTCAAGTATTAACATTGTTAACTGCTCTCCTGTCAGGCAGCTGCAGCAGCAGGGAGCTGACCCTACCAAAACAGCCTTTTGGTGGCTTCTAGTGGGACTCAAAGCAGCTCCAAAGGGCTGAAGGTTAGGGGACTCTGGATTCTTGTGTCTCCCATAGCCCATCAGCTGCCTGTCACACTCAGGGGAGCACTGACACAGTGCACCTGTTCTCTTGCAGGATGTGGGGATATTATCCCAGTGTGTCCTTCCTAAAATTGTGGGAGTGGCAAAGATGATCTGTCATGAAAAAGTTCATGGTCAAGTTTTGCATCCCTTACCTCATGAACTTTAAGTGCAGGACACGACTGCAGGAAAACATGTCCTCATAATCCTGAGCATCCATGTCTTTTCCATGTGACCAGGATGTGTTCTGGGCACAGAACAGGTTTATTCCCCAGCTGTTACCACAGTAATTTCATAGGTAGCTTTACCAACAGGAATTCTGTGGGGAATAATTTTCTGTTTCATTATAGGATGGAATTTTTTCCCCAGTTAGTTTCCCAGAGTAAGGTGTTCCAACCCTCTAAGTTTTAGAATTTCATTCTTTTTACAAGCTGATAGCTGAGGGTAGACTTGTTGCTTTAAAGGAGCCACCCCTCCTTTCAATTTTCGATGCAGACGGTCCTAATATAGAAGCTAAAAAATGATTTATAAAAATAGAATTGCAACACTTGGAAAGTTAGAGAAAAAAAATCTTCCCTCCTGGGTACTGAATAGGTCTTTACAAACTTTCCATGTTTCCAGGAGTAGAGGTGTGAGCTTTGCTTTCCACTGCAGAGTGATTTCTGTGGTGGGGGACTGATCCATGGGAACTCCTTCTTGAGAAACCTCTGTCTGAACTGGGTGTTTGACTCCTGCCTGTGGAACCTCTGTTGACTGAAATGGTTTGGTTAATGCAGGCATTGTGTGCTCCTGCCCTAGTTAGAGATGCCTTGGCGTGGCTTTTGGTCAAAGGAGTCGTTTCTAGGCACAGGAACTATTTCTAATAGGAATGAGAGAGCCAGAAGGGGAGAAGGCTGAGGGAGATTTGTGTTTAATCTCCAAACACAGACTGTTAGTGTCTCTGTACTGTGTTAGAGGTGATGTATGGGCACTGATGCTGAAGCTTGGCACCCCCTAGGACTGATGGAGTCACCTCTCTGGGGAGGGAGAAATAGTCATGGTTTGTTTGGTTCTTCTGGTGGTTGCCTGACCAGAGTTGGCAAACGTAAAGAAAGAGGCTGTGAAAGTATTGCTGCATGATCCAGGTGAATCTCCTTGGGAATACTCAAGAGCCAGAAAGTATAGGAGTGGGGAAGGAATATATTAAACCCAGGGAAGATAAGGTTGACTTCCTTGAGGCACATCTGACTGGAGAGCCTGTTTCTGAATGCTCTCTGGGCCTCTTCCAGCCAGCTTTGAGCAGCCCAGAAGACAAGGCCAAGTGCTGGGTAGGCCAAGGTGACTGTGTCAGGTCCCTCTCATTAGGGACTTCCCTTAAAAACTTCTCCAGGAAACAAATGTCGAGGTGAGTGCCTGGGAGGAGGGTTTAGGACTGACAGGAACTGAGGGATTTGTGTGCACAGAACCCATAGGTCCCTTGTTTTCAAGCATGAGGAGGAGGACTCTGATTCCTGTGCCACACAGCCTGAATCTCCAGCCTCACATCCTAAGGGCATGTGGAGATCCATCCTGTGAGCACACATGGGGACAAGCCAGCTCTGGGAAGACCAGTGGCTGTGGGAGTAGAGCTAAACCTGCAAACAGGTTGTTTGTGTGGTTGGTCAGTGGTTTTAATCCAAATGTAGCCTGGCAGGTACGCTCAGAGTGCCGGGGGCTGTGCTGGAGTAAATCAGGGCAGATTGATTGATTTACAGATTTACAGATTTACTTAGAATCAGAGACACAGAATTCTGTCCCTGGCAGGAGAGAGCAGCACATGTAAAGGAAAAGTGTAAGAACAGAGCAAAGCATCCACTGATTCCTCCCTGTTACTCATTAGTGGTTTGGGACTTGATGACCTAGAAGCCACATGTTTGTCTCCTTCTCCATTGTTTAATTTTTCCCCCTTGTAAATGTTATCCCAGTGAGCCCCAAACACCTGAAATATTTCAGAATCTGCAGCTCCTGTGGCTGCATGTGCCAGAGTTTGAGCACAAACATGACAGTAAATGATATTTCCTCCAATGTATATGTACTCCTATTACTGAAAATAAATTACCAAAGTGCATTTAGATTTTTGTGTTAGGGACAAAATGTGATGGAGTTCATACTAACATTTAGTTTTGTTTTTGTGTCTTCCCCCCTCTCATCAAGGGTGCCAAATGCCTGATACTTTGAATTCATGGTTCCTGGTAGCCCAGCTTCATGTCTGGTAAGTGAAAATCAAAATAGTAATATAATTATTTTCAGCAAATAGAGTGATATGTATCTTAATGTGAGGAAAAAGTAGGCTCTGTGGTTGTTGCTAATAGAGGATTTATTCATTTTACTGATGACTGAATTACAGCAGTTTTCTACTGAAGAACAAAAAGTGCCATAGAGAAGCTGACATCTCTCACATCTCAAAATTCCTCACTAGTGGAATGATCTTTGCCATGAGTTTTCTAAAAGCCTTTCTCAGGCTCTGTGGAAAAATCTTACTTGGGTGTTTTAGGAAAAGTTTAAATTTATGTAGAAGTCTTCTAAATTGGGAGAATTTGTGGTGATGAGAAGCATTTAACAAATTACAGCACTGGCATTTATTCTTGCACCTCTGAAAGGCACATGCAGGGGGGTGAATGCCAGCTTGGCTGCATGTAAAAATATCTGACACCTTAAACATGACATTTTTTTCCCTTTTTCGTTTGGGAAAGTAGTAGCCAAAAAAAATCAGGTTTTCATCTAGCATTGCATACTTGTAAAGGTCAGGGGATGCACAAGGGAGTGCAGTCATTTTGTAAATGCCAGATCTTGCAGGGAACTGAAGTCCACAGACTTGGGGTTCAGCTGTCCAAAGGCTGAAAGGAAGTTTGTACTGAAATAGCTGCACTTAAGACCCCTTATTTCCTTGCCTCTTCTTTTTCCCCTCCCCTCCTTTTAATTTCCTATCTCCTCAATGTATTGAAAGATGGGGCAGCTCATTACACTAAAGAGTGAACAAATTAGCAGAACCATTGAAATTATAATCAGTGAATAAATCAGTGGAATCAAGGAAGGAAGACCCTTGAAACTTGCAGTTTATTTATTTCCTACTGTTCCCTGTGGGAAAAAGGCTTTTAAAATTAATTGATAAGCTAATAATTCATATAGATATTTAGAAAACCAGTGCAATAAATATTGAAAAGAAAACTGTAAGTGTCTGGGGAAAAACAAAAAGAGGTAAGATGAATCTGCTAAAAACACACTTTTTTTCCCACATCATCTTTGTTTCTCATTGACAGGAAAATATATCCTGTGATTGATACACGGTATGAAATTCAAGATTAAGAATAAAAATAAACAAGGGAACTATGATAGAGATGAAACTGGTATAGGATAGGCACAGATTTCTGAGATCAAAGCTACGTGGGCTTCTTTTGAAGAAAGGCGAGAGTTGCCACGCTTTGAGCTGGTGATGGTAAGGAGAGATTTACTGAGGAGAGCTGAAGTTCTCTTCTGTGTAGGATATGGTGGACAGGCTGACAGCAGTATCCTCCACAGGCAGGAGAGAACCAAACCCCTCTGCCTCGTGTGACAGCAGTGGAAATTCGGGTGTGGAGGGCAGCACTGAAGGTTGATTTTTCCCGGGTATGTGAGTCTGGCTCCTCTGTGTTCCTGGCAGCTTGACCTAAGGAGCACTGTCATTCTGGACCTCAGATGGGAGGTTGAGTTTGATATTCCAGGACACAGAAGCCTGTGCCAGGCCTGCTCACTACCTGGGTCATTGGGAATTGCTGCAGGCTTTGCTTCTGGAGAGCTCAGTGACCAGCATCCTGCCCTGACATAATTTGCTTTCCCAGGCAGGTTTATTGCCACGCTCTCTGGGATTCTCTTTCTTTAAGCAGTTTGACCTCAGTAAAGTGGGAGCAGATTTTGCTTTTGCTGGCTCTGGCAAGGTCAAGGACATCCTACCCTGTCTGAAGGCTCTGGTCCTGTTTCTCTTGCTGGACCATTCACCTCAGAGCCTTGAAACCTTCCTGACCTGGTGGCCAACGACCTGCACAGAGATTTGGATCGTGATCTGCTCCCCCTTGCAGAGCAATCTGCGTCACTCTCTGATGTTCTGACTTGTTCCCTCTTATTCAGGGTTTTAGTTTCCACTGATTTACAGTATCTTCTGGAGCTAGTGGGGATGAGAATTTTTTCTAGTTCGGTGAACTTTGCCTCCTTTCTTGCTGTTGTCATTTCCCAGCCTCTTCTGGTCTACTTTTCTGTGCCCTTTGTGTCCCAGGACTTAAGGTGTTTGTCAGGGCAAAACTTCTTATGTTACAGATTCTTGTGGGTCCTCTTTGACTCTCTGGCTCTTATTTCTTCTTGTCTGGTGAATAGGATTTTTCTACTTACCTCCTGTCAGAAAGGGAGGAATTCAGGCTCTCTTGTTTAGCTTCTGCTTTTACAAACTTCTTTCAAGATGATGTTCCTTTAGAAACACTTCAGTGCCTTCCAAGGCAGTGCTAAAATCACGCTTTAAAAAAATCAACCCATCAATATTATTTAGAAAACCAGCCTATCATTATGCTTTCCTAGATGTCATGTTTTCATAGGCTGTTTCTGTTACTTCACACCTTTGATGTCAGGGGGACTTCTGGCTTTATGTTTGGAAGTCCAGACCTTTAGAAAATCTCAAGCTGTTCATCTCCACCGCTGGTCTGCATTTTCCCACACAGTGTGAGTGGAGTACTGGCTGAGTCCAGAGCTGTTACCAAACTTGCCAAAGAAGTGACTTGGGTGACTGCTAAGAAGTGCCTTGCTTCAATATTATCATGTGGATACCTAGAGCTCCCTTCATGTTTTCACCAGACCAAGTATGGTGACACCCCTGAAGTATTTAGGATCAAAATAGTCGTGCTGCCATTCCTGTTCTGAAAGGATCAAAGACCTGTTGCAAAAATTCATCTAAGCATTGTTATTCTTAAGGAAATCTGCACTTGAGAAGGTTTTGATCAGCCTGAGGAAGTCCAGAGGAGAACAAGAACCCTAAATACGTAGAAAACAATTCCTACCGGAAAAGGTTTCTCTGATTTGCACCAGAAGACTGAGGACACTGTTCTCTTCTGAAATGTGCTGCTTCAGAAGAAAGGGAACAGGCTCATTTTCGTGGGAGAGGGCTTTAATTGCATCAGAATAGTTCTGCTTGAGAGAGGTTTTAGGAATAAGTTTATTTGGAATGTCTCAGGCATTTAGTTGGTCCTGCCTTAACAAGAGGGAACGGGCTCCAGTGGCCTAAGCCAAGGCCCCAGGGGCGAGGAGGCTGCACAGCCAGGCTGGGTTCTGTCAGCTGGTCCCAGCAGAGCCCTGGCCATGCTGGAGGTACAGCACTGGGTGGCCAGGCTGGGGCACAGGAGAACAGGCAAACCTCCTTGGGGTGAGTTCAGAACTGTGCTCGTTGTCACCGTTCACTGCAGTGCATTGTCACACCAGAGCTGGGGCAGAGTCTGCTCAGGAGCTTCCTGCTGTCCCCCGAGCTGGTGGCTGTCCATGAATGGCTTAAACAGAATAAAGCCTTCCAGAGCTTCTGTTGATACTTGTGTTGTTAAACCAGAGGAGTGTCTGAACAACACAGCTCCAGTGCTCTGGAGCAACTGAGGCAGCAGGAATGAGTGGCCAGGTGCAGGGGACAGCGGGAAGCTCCGAGTGGGCTTTGCTGTTTTTGGATCATCTCACCTCAGTGCATGGCACAGGGCAGTCATCAGGGTGCTGCCAACCCTCACTTCTGGTCTTCCAGCCCATCTGGCACTCTGGGAATACTGACAGAAGCAGTTGTAGCTGAGGCTGTTGTGGGAGGTGGCATCATCTCAGCTGAGATGGGTCAGGTTACAGATGCTCCTGTTCCTTTTCAGTCATCCTTTCATATCCTTTTCTTCAACAGAATCTCTCTGCATAACTTAAATAAAGCAAAAATTATCCAACCCAAGCAGTGTGAGGTAGACAGCTTTCTAAAGATAGTTTGCAGTAATTTTGCTTTCGTGAAGATGAGTCAGTATTTGACTAAACTACAGCACAGATTGTGCAGTGAAACAATAAAATGTTTCACACCACGGTGATCTAGTTAGGAGGTTTATAGGCTTTAAAGAGTCTGTGTCTTTTAAACCTCAGACAGCAGGTGAAGTAACAAACTACCAAACTTTCAAATAAACTGCAGAATTCCATGATCTCACTCGTGGTGCTGCAGAACAGCTCTGTGACAGCACTGCATCCAAGAACAGAGCTGCCTTTGAGGCTCTGTGAGTAGCAGGTTTTCCTCTGAACACCCCTCCAGACCTGCTCATCACTGACCAGTTGCTGGCTGTTGGTCTGTCACCACTCTCTCCTCCTGCTTCTCCACCACTAAAGGCACACAGGGTAGGAACCACTATTTGTGCTTGGGAGGAGGTTTTCTTGCCAAGCCACTCTTTTTTTTTTTCTTTTCTTTTTCTTTTTTTCTCACCCCTGAGTTTCTGTACTCAGCAAGAGAAGTGTAAAAATGCTTTTCTAGCCCAAAATTTGTCCTTTAAACTGAGTCGTTTTGACTTAAGAGTGTGTAAAAATTTTGGATTCAGTCACTCTAAATAATTCACTTTTTTGTACAGCTCAATTATGTAAATGCACAAAAAGAACAAAGGTTTTCAAACTGGTGGAAAAAACCCAACAGTTTTAAGCTCTTTGTTTTGTGGAAAGGCTGGCAACTGGACAGCTGTTCTCTTATCACTGTTTGAGCTGAAAGCTTTGTCATCTTTCTGTGAACAAATGAGGATTTGGTTTTGATACCATCTTAATTGTATTTGTTTGGTGGTGCTGTTGGAATGACACCGAGTTGTCACTGCCATAATGTAAACCTTGGGAATTCTTACACAGCTCTGGTTCCTGAGACAGAAATTGCCACAGTCTTCCCAGTGTTCCCTTACCTGACTGCCCTTGCCCTTCTCCTCCTGTCCTCTCCCTGGAATCTCTTACTCCCTCCAGCTTGGAGGTCTCCTTGTCATGCCTCTTTTGCAAGTTAATGTCTTTACAAGTCAGCAGACAAGAAAATCCATCATAAAGATTTTCATCTGTCCTTTTACAGGACACACCTCAGGTGTTTGTGATTTTCCCTGTTGAGTTGGCATTCACAGGTCACCAGATTCTTTTAATGCTTACAGATCTTCTGTACACTAAAGAAACGAACCTATTAAAAAAAAAATTGTTTTTACCTCTCAGCTCTTGTGGCACATTCAGCACTGTCGATATGCACCAGCTTCCCAGTGGCCTCCAGCTCTGCTGGTTTGACATGAGCTGTAAGGAGCCTCACCTGTGAGCAGCTTCCCACTTGTAGCGTGTCTGTGAAAAGCAATGACTTCTCTCAGCTCCAGTGTTTGAGCATCATCTCATCTACAGTCACTCAGTCCTGGGCAGGCACTTCTGCCTCAGCACAGGAGCAGAGCTGCTCTGATGTAGAGAGGATGGGACAGGTGATGGGACTGGTCCCAGCTCAGTGAGGGATCAGCCTGGGCTTCAGTTCATGCTCTTTACAGATGTTGTAAAAAAGGCCAAATAAAACGTTTGTTCATATGATTTATTTTGTGGACAGGACAGCAGCAATGAAGTTCGAGTGGCTTTAATGCTTTTAAAAAAAGTAAGAGAACTCAACCCGATATTGTCATTAAGATCCCACAATGAACTTTCAGACTTCTGAGTTGTTCTCTCCTGTGCTGCATGTGGAGGTTTTGCCAGGTGGTTGGACATGTATCCAAAGACCCCTGGAGCTGAAATAGTTTAGGACATGGCTAATGTGGATTTGGTTGAAGCCTGTAACTTGCTGAAGGTTTCCCAGCTTGGCTGGTTGGGGCTCTTACAGCCCTTCAGTGCCCCAGGCTGAGCTGCAGCTGGCTCAGGGCCTGGCATCGGACAAGCCATGTGTTCCTGCTGCGAAGGGTGGGATCTTCTGAAGGCTGAGGAATTTAGGTTCCAGTAGTGTTGAACAACAAGAATAGAGCCCACTATCACTCTTCCATGGCTGGATTGGCCAAAATCCAGCAGATACAGCTCCTGAGTATAGAATAGAAGAGTTTATTAAAAAAAAAAAAAATCTCCTTGTGTGTTTTTTTTTTTCCTGACCACAGACATATACTGTGAGGAAAATCTTCAATGAGCTGAAATAACGTGTCATTGAGTCTTTCCTTCTGAAAAAAGCCGTGGGAGCTCTGACTGGAGGGTGTGTGTCCTTGCAGGATGTGCCTGGTCCGGATGAAGCAGGAGGGCCGCACAGGGAAGTACATGTGTCGCTACATCGTCCACTGCATGTGGGAGGATGTTGAGCAGCGTGGTAAGGTCATGGGGGTAAGTTCTCTCTGGTGGTGGCAATCCTGATGATTCCCATCTTTCAATGGTTTTGTGACTTCGCATTTCTTAGAAGAATGCCTGAGAATCAACCTGCAGCTGCTCTTTTATTTATTACCTTAAGCTGATGCATGCAGCCCTCACTCCTGACCATTTGTTGCCTCTATTGAGCCACTGAGCTTGTTTCTGAAAGTGCATCAAGGCCTGGATGAAGATATTGATTTGGTTTAAATGCATGAATTTCCCACATGGTTTGCCATGTGACTGCAGAAATGGATTCTGCTGTTCATGGGATATGTTATTGATGATCTGGATGAGGGGATCGAGTGTACCCTTAGCAAATCTGCAGATGACACCAAGCTGGGGGGGAGTGTTGATCAGCTGGCAGGCAGGAGGGCCCTGCAGAGGGACCTGGACAAGGTGGATCCATGGGCTGATCCCAATGGGATGAGGCTCAACCAGGCCAAGTGCCGGGTCCTGCCCTTTGGCCACAACAACCCCCGGCAGCCCCCCGGGCTGGGACAGAGTGACTGGAGAGCAGCCAGGCAGGAAGGGAGCTGGGAGTGTGGAGGGACAGGAGCTGAACAGGAGCCAGAGTGTGCCCAGGGGGCCAAGAGGGCCAAGGGCTCCTGGCCTGGCTCAGGATCAGTGGCAGCAGGAGCAGGGAGTGATTCTTGCCCTGCACTCAGCGCTGGGGAGGCCACCCCTGGAGTGCTGTGTCCAGCTCTGGGCCCTCAGCTCAGGAAGGACATGGAGGGGCTGGAGCAGGGGCAGAGAAGAGCAATGAGGTGGAGTCACCACCCTCCATTCCCTGGAGGTGTTTAAGGTGAGACTGGATGTGGCCTCAGTGCCATGGGCTGGGAACCACGGTGGTGTGGATTGAGGGTTGGACTTGATGATCTCAGAGGTCTTTTCCATCCCAGTCGATTCTGTGACTCTGTGCTGTAACAGAAAGGGCGTTTGGGGATAGGAATGAGCAGCTGGAGTGGGGAGAAAAGTGACTGGTGCCAAATTGATAACCACAACTTCAATAATTCCAGCAGAGCTTTGAGTTTTCTCCGTATCTAAAATGGTAAAAGGAAAGCTAATCAATAAGATTTTTATGTCAGGTTTCTGTACAGGACCATAACTAGTCATAAGTATATTTTTTGGTTTGTATTCTCAATATACCTGGACTTTATTAACAAAAGAACCATTCTGAGGAGAGAGTAGCTCCAAGGAGAGTTCATTTGCAAGTTTGAAGGAAGAACAAGGTTGAATCTTTCTGGCCTGTTCTGAGGAAGGTTATGGTAGTTATTTGGAATGGTCATTTCTGGCCTTTAAGTCCTGTGTTGGTGATTGCCTTGAGAGAAGGCAGTGCAGAAGCAGTGCAAGGAAGTGACTGATACAGGTGAGGCTGCCTAAGCTGAGGGCACTTCTGTGGGAGGACAGGACTGGGAAAGGTCTCCTGTGCTGTGGAAAAGAACTGTTGAGTGATTAAATAGAGGTTTGTGATTAAAATAAATTGGGCTGTTAGAGAAGTGACAGTTTCCATGTAGCAGTAATGACACACTGTCAAGCCTTAGTTGTCAGTCTCTTGGAGAGGCTGCCAGGGCAACTAGTGAGTTAGGATTTGAGATGCAATCACATTAGTAACTCAGGAAGTTTCTCTCTGATCTTTTATTTTGTATGTAGTTTTAGAAAGTGTTGATTCTGGTGTAACTTCAGTCGTCCCATCAGCAGCAGGGTTTGTTCCTAGTTGTTGGGAATTCCTTAGCTTTACTTTTTTACATCTTGCATTTAAAGACAAGACATCCTCTTAATCTTCTTTTGGATTAGATCCATAAATTCATGCATCTGAGAATTTCTTGCTATGTAAATGTGCTCACATAAATTCCAGGATGGGAATCTCCTCTTTCTGATAAGGCAGTGTGAGCGAGCCAGGACAAATCAGATGATGGCACCAGAGGAAAAGATGAATGAAATAGCTTATGCATTTTAGTCCTTATCCAATGCCTTCCATATCCTATCAGTGGCTGGTTCTGCTTTCCCTAGGAACTACACACAGCTCAGATCTTTGTTCTGGATGTAAATTTAAGGTTGCTCTTCTTTTGTCTGTTCCTTTTGACCCTAATTTTGCCTTATATGAGTGAACCTCAAATGTTGTCTTGTAGTTTGATCTCCAAAGCAGTTACATCACTATGTATAGTCAGTATATTTAAGCATAGGGTTTTCATTAATCTTCAGTGATTTTTTTTTTCTTTCATCTTTTAGTTATTCCTGATCTTTCAGTCATTATTCATAGTCAGTCCCCTGTGGAGACAGGCTGAGAAAGTTGTGGGTGCTCAGCCTGGAGAAGGCTGGGTAAAGATCTCACAGCACCTTCCAGAATCTGAGGGGGTACAAGGAAGCTGGAGAGGGCCTGGACTTGAGGAACTGTAGTGACAGGACAAGGGGGAGGGGCTTCAAACTGAAGGAGAGGAAATTTAGGTTAAATATGTGGTAGAAATCCTTCCCTGTGAGGGTGGGCAGGCCCTGGCACAGGTTGCCCAGAGAAGCTGTGGCTGCCCCATCCCTGGAAGCGTCCAAGGCCAGGTTGGACAGGGCTTGGAGCACCCTGGGCTGGTGGGAGATGTCCCTGCCCATGGCAGGGCTTTAAAGTCCCTCCAGCCCAAACCTTCTGTGATTCTGTGATTTTTGTCAAGGCAAATTAACTTCTTAGTCTCTCCTGGTAGTATTTATTGTATGTTAGGTGAAAATAACTTATGCATTGGTGTTTCAGGATGTCAGCAGTTCCCTGGCTCCTTATCACTGCTCTGTTTTCCTTCCTCAGTGCCAGTGATCCAACCCTCCTATCCCACTTCCCCCGTGCCCCTGCATGGGCAGGTCCTGTTTCTTCCATGCTTGTTCACTTCACTCACTTCCCTCCCCTTCCCACAGCTGTACCCTGACTGAACTCTTTCTCTCCTCTCACCTTTAGCAACTGCAAGGAGTTTTAAATGACTAATAAAGGGCACTTACCCCAGTGTTACATTCTCTTTATTAATCTTGATCTGTTTATCACTAATAATTCTTTTAGACTGAAGTAGAAGGTTTGTGAGCTGATGGAGGAACAGGTAACAACTGTTTATTTTCAAGCAGTGTAGTCCTGCAATCAGTATTATATTCTACCTCCAGAAGAAGGTAGTCAAAGGTATCAAGAATAGTAGATAAAAAGGTGTCATTAACGTTCTCTGTCGATGCTTTCAAACTCCAGAATCTGAGCCTTTCTCAGAAGTAATATAAAGGAAAAGAAATTTTACTGGATACTTTTAGGGTGCTAAATTATCATCTGCATCGATCCTGGAAGGTTAGGAAATTCCATTCCCTGCTTTTTCTCTCATGCACTCTATCACAGATCAAGATTTAACTCCAATTCCTGCAGTGTGGTACAAATGACAGAGCACCTGTATGGAATTGCCAGTTGGATGCAATTAGTTAAACTTGCTGACAGACAAAGCTGCAGTTCCTCTCCATATCCAGCAACAATTCCAACCCTTGATGCAGAAAAAAGACACTGTATTCCAGAATTGATATCCATGTTTTTTTGAAATATGCCATCTGCTCTTAAACATACCGGTCCACTGGAGCCCAAAAGGGATAGAATGTAAAGCATTTTAACTGCTAATTTACATCAGCTCCAGCTCCAAATGGAGTTTGTATTATTTCAAAACCTGGTTGTTAAAACTGCTGAGATCTAAATCTCAGCTACAAAGTTTTGGGACCTGTTAGGCTGAGCTCCTTCAGCACTCCTGAATGTCGGCAAGAGTCAGAAACCCAAACTTGACACAGCTGTAAAAACACACGGAGAGCCTGTGGCCTCAGCAAATTCTACTGGTGCAGGCATATTTCAGATATAAATTTTACTCTGCTGTCCCTCGTACTAATGAAGTCAGTCTCTTTTGGTGGGTTTGCAGCCAGGTGTGTCCAGTTCTGTGGCTAACCAGTGCTCTTTACTTAATTTTTCCACTAGTGACATTTCTATCAAACTTTAAAAACAAACAGAAAAATTGGCTTGATGCAATGGCTCCAAGTGTTAATAGTAACATTAGGCTGGGTAAAAGACTTCCTTTGGATCCTGCTTTGCCAGAGATCTCCACCTCGTGGCTTGCAGGGAATAGATTTACACTGTGCAAGCTGGCAGCTGCCTCATCAGTTTGGGGAGGGAATTCACTCAGGCCTAGACATTGCTGCTGTTTGTCCTCCCAGCAGGGTTCTGGAGCCACCTGAGTATCAGCCTGGCTGGCCTGAGTATTGTGCTTTAGTAACTGTGGATATAAAAGTTGTTATAAGTTTCAGTGTGTTTTAATACTCTTTAGATGAAGCTGCAGAAGGACTTGTAGGTGCTGGAGTTCCCTGGAATGGGATTTCAGCTGGTAATGGGACAGTAAGTATGAGGTTGGAAAAAAATAAAAACAAAAGACCCTAACCCCACTGCCCCCCCCCCAAAAAAAATTCCAAACCAAAAAAACAAGCACAAAAACCCCCAACACCCCTTTTCCCTTCCCCAAGCACCCCACACTAATATTTCTGGGTGCAAATCACATGCTGTCTCAGAGAGACCCTTTTAAGGCTTTATTCCAGTAACCTGGAGGCTCCCTTTGCCCACGCTGTGTTGTGGTGGAGTTGTGCTGCTGGAATGAATTCAGGTTGTTTTCAGTGCAAAATAACAATTCATTTCATAACCACACATGTTCCCAAAGCTGCCAAAGAGATAAGACATGGGGGGAGCTGTCAAGCCCAGCGGGCCAAAGCTGTTTTAATTTACCATAACCTCACTTTCCTGTTTTCCCACCGGACCACTTAGACCCCTGTGCCCCCTTTTTTTTTTTTTCTAGGAACACATCTAGGTGTCTTTTGAATTGGTTTATTGGCTCTGCTGTATGCAGCACAATGGAGCCTTTGTTGCACTTGGAGCTAGAGCTGTTTATACCCAGTGACCCATAATTTGCTCTCAATTAAACTCGTGTACATCTGAAGTA